GCGGTCGAGGGGGGTTAAGGTATCCCTTGATTGGGCCTGCCCTCGTCCCCAGTCCCCATATAGACCCGAAAGTTCTTAAACTCTGGGAGCGAAAGAGAGAAAAAGATCCCTAGCCTCTTCTCTAGAAAAAAAGAGATGAGTTGAGCCAGAGTCATCCGCGGGGACCAGGTGAGGCAGGTAAAGGAGAGAGGCAGGGAAGGAGATAGGGATGGAAAGAAAACAGAGCAAGTGACCACAGGAAGAGGAACATGGAGACAGACAGACAGAAAGTGCCAGAATATGGTGGTGGACCTGGGAACTGGGGCATCTGGTAGGGGCAGGGGTCGCACACTCACGTCAGTGGCTGCCAGTTAAGGGAGACCTGTTTCCGCCTCACGCTGGGGCTGGGGCTGGGGCTGGGGCTGGGGCTGGGGCTCGGTCCAGGGGACCCCAGAGGCAAGCAACCCCGAGGGTCTGCGCCCTTTTCCGGTGGGCAGTTCCCGATCCTGCAGGAAGCTGTGGAGACAGCCTGGGAGTGAGGAAGGAGGAGGAAGGCATCCAGATCTCCAGCCTACAGCGAGCGGAGGGAGCCCCTAGCCCCTCTGTACACCCCCCCACCCCCACCCCCGCCCCACTTCCCGCAGGAAAGAACCCACCTCGGTTGTCGCCGGTCCTCCTGGGTGACTTGCCTGGACAGCAGCAAGAAGCAAGGCTATAAAGACAGAAGTGGAGGTCACCTGGAGCCCCAGGAAACCCCAAGGGGGCTCTAGTGAGAGGGAAAGCCAGATAACCGAGAAGGTTCGCTCAGCGCCCTCAGTTTCCCCATCCGTGCAATGGGAGGCACGGTAACTGAGGTTCTCCAGGGACACGGTCTCCAGGAAGCCTCGTTTTATGCGTTTTCCAGGAATGGATGGGATTGTAACTTTTTAACCTTACAGTCTTTTTCCAATGGTCTTTGTTTTGGTTTAAATGAAAAACTCAAAGACGACTTCTAAGCGTTCTTTTTTAAGCCGCGCGGCCCCAGAAGCCAGAACCCCGCCCCTCGGGCCCGCCGGGGCCCGATCCCAGCTGCCACTCCGCGCATGGCCAGCAGGTGGTGGCGTTTCTACAGGCCTCCGCTCCCATTGTGGGTCCAGCAGGGTGCTGGGGTGGAGGGCGTGCCGAAGAAGCCACAGCTAGGGACCTGAGTGCGTTCCCGTGCTTCCAGGCTGTGGGTCCTGAAGCCAGCGTCTCCTGGTCCCTGGGCCTCAGTCTTGCAGTCTCCTCGCCCACAGAGGGTCGCAGATTCTGGGCGCCGGAGCTCCCAGCTTCCTGCACAAGTGCGTCTCAACTCGGGGGGCCCCCAGACAAGTCCATTATCCCCAGACCGAGGGGGGCGAGGGACGAAGCCGCGGGAGCAAGCTCTATGAGAAGGGGAGTGGAGGGGAGGCAAAGGGGACCTCGAACACTTGGGCGCTTTCCACCGGGGTGGGGCCCGGTGAGGGGGGTGGGGCGTGTCGCGGTGGGAGTCTCCGAGACTCCCCAAACCTGCAGCCTTCCCTCCCGCCTGCTGCTCAGTTTAACCCCTTCCCGGCCCCGCCCCCGGCGCGGCTCGGATTACTAAACGCATTCGCAGAGCCGGAGGCGGGAGCGCAGCCCCAGGCCTTTGTAGCCCAGCTCGGGCGGGGGTGGGGGGCGGGGGTGAGGGGCAGCCTGTTTCCTGCGATCTCATCACCTCCAGGCAGGCGGAGGGAGGGGGTGTTTATAACCCCCAGATCTCTAGGAAATCTAGGATCTCTTGCCGCACCATCCCTGGCAGCTCATTCAATCCGGAGTCTTCTAATTCTAGAAAACTAGAGGCTCCCCAACTGTCGTGAAACCCAAGGATCCCCCCAAGCCCCCACAGACTTTTTTGCCACCAACGCACGGGTCCACGTTTTCCTTACCCCTTAGGGAAAAAGAAGTCCTCTCTTAAATATTCCAGGCATCGCCAAACCCGGGGAAATCAGAAATTCTCAACACCCATAAAGTTCCTCCCCGCCAATAAAACCTCTCCATAGCCTTCCTCCTTACAGCACCAAGGAAACTTGGGGAACCCCATCCCGCCTAAAGGGCCCCACCCAGCTCTCTGTCATCCGAGAACTCCAAGTGCCACTCCAGCAAGCAGAGACCTTTTGGGGAAATTCTTGCCGCCAAAATCCCAGTGCCCTTCTGGAATTCTTCCGCCTACAAAACAGGGAGGCCAGCTGCTCCAGGGTCCTGGCCCTGTCACCCCACCCCAATGGACTGGGGTCGTATCCCCCAAAGCTGGAAGACCTGGCTCTCCATAGACCTCCACGTTTATCGGGTGGAAGAAGCAAGAGGGAAAGGGGACCTCGGCGGGGCTTACCCAGCCGGGCGGTCAGTGACCACCGCGACCTCGACGGCCTGGCTGGAGCTGGCGCCGGCGGTGGCTGCGGCGGTGGCTGTGAAGAACAGCGACAGGATCAGGAGGGGGTGGCGGCTGCTGGGGCCAGGCCGCTGCATGGTGTCCGGCGCCTCGTCCCCCTCCAGGCTTGCAGTCTGTCCAGCAGGTCCAACTCGGCGCCGCCCCGCCCCGCGCCCTCTCCCGGGGCCGACTCACTTTCTCCTTGGCTCCAGCCGCGGGCTACGAACTTCCCACCAATGAGAGCCTGCCGCCACCAGGCGGCACACCCCGCGCGCCAATCAGGAGGTGGCAGGGGCGGGGCTAGAGGGACAGGTGCGGGGCAGGAGGGCACTGGGCCTAGAGATTCTTTCCCCCTGCTGTATGGGGAACGCAGGAGTGGGGCGGTCCTGGGTTCCTGTCTCGGGAAGCAAGGGCTACAAGGACCCAGGAGTCTGCAGGGATGCAGAAGTGGTGGGCAGGGTCTCCCAAGCTAGGCTTCCGCTCCCAGGTCTCACCCCTCCGCCTATGATTGTGGGAGAATTTGCGTCCTGGGTCGCATCCTGGATGCTGAAGGCTGGGATGGTGCCCAAGTCCCTGAGCGACTCCGAACAGAGACCAGGGGTTCAGGCCTCACCGCCTGCACAAAGCTAGTTCCTCAAGGGGCTATATCCCTGCGCCCCAGGACCCAGGCTCTGCCCTAGATTCATAGATCAGGTTCTTGGGACCTCTGGGCCCCTCACATGCCACTCGGACTCACGATCATCCCACGTGTGTCAGGGCACACCTAGGCGTCAGTGGCTGCGTGTGTTTTTCGTTTTTGAATGGGTTGCCTGGCCTTTGTGGACCTCCAGTCTCATAGCTTCTCCTTCTCCCTGTTCATATCTCTAAAGGCAACTAAGAGCGCCCTTCCTTCCTCAGAGTTCCAGACCCTGACTCCCGAGAGAAATTTCAGTCCCCTCCCCTCCCTCAGCCACCCGAAGCCCCCAGGCACAGATCAACCTGAAGCGTTACCTGTGCCCTTTCATGGTTTCCTGACTTCAAATCTTGCCACAGACCTCCCAGCCCTCCTGTTCCTTGCCTTCAAGAAACCTACCCTCTTTCTTCAGCATTACATCCCCACATCTCCAGGGACCGCCCCCTGAGTTTGAGAGACCCTACCCCATTGTCCCTCTTCCTAGAGATTCAGCCTCTACCCCTTTCTCACAGATAATTGGGGCTGGCCTGGCCCTCCACCAAAGATCCCCCAAATCCACTGTCATCGAGTTGAATTCTGACTTATATCGACCAGGGAGGGCAGGGCAGAACAGCCACGCTGGGTTTTAGAGGCTGTAACTATTTACAAGGGCAGACAGCCTCGTCTTTCTCCCACGGAGCAGCTGGCGGAGCCAAACTGCTGACCTTGCGGTTAGCAGCCCACCATAAGTCACCCATTTGGCTACCAGGCCTCCTCAAGCCCCACCCCTTTCACGGTTGCTCCGCCTCTGAGGGGGTCCAGCCCCACCTCTCCCAGCAGGGAGATCTTTATGGTTTCCAGTCCCTTCTCTCCGCTAACCTCCGCCCACGAAGGATGCTAGGCCCAGAGCCCATCTGGGGCCAGCCGGCCTAAGACCAGCAACAGATCATGCTTTGTCCCCATGCCCTGTCCCCCGCTCCCACTCCCTCTTTCTGCAGCGGGTGTGCAAGATGGCTAGGCGGTAGGGAGGGAAGGGCCCCCTTCAGTCGCCCCTGCAGTGAGACACACAGGTTGACTCACAGTCCTGCTTTCACCATTACCACCACCTACAGGAAGTCCTGCCTCCATCCCACCCACCAAGACACCCTGAAATCCATCCGGCCTCATCCACTTTGCAGGGATGCACAGCCTCCCCCCACCCACCCGGGAGCAGTGTCCACCCCTTCCCCACCCATTCAGGGCCACTGGTGGGTTACTGCAGCATGGCGGTGGGGAGCCGCATGTCACTGTGCCCACGTCTGCCCCGCCAACATGCCAACATGCTCCGTGTGCCTGGGTCTGTGTCGTTCCCAAGCCCGCTGCTAGTGTGACCCTGAAGAGCAGCCTGCCCATGCCACCGTTTCCCTCTCCCCTGCCTACCCTGTGGCCGGAGCATCTGCTCAGGGTGCTGCAGGAATTTCTTTCTTCTGCCAGGGAACCAGGGCATCCTCGATGCTCGTTGCCAGGCAACAGTCTCTCGCAACTTCCGGGGAGAGCGTCGTCCTCGTCCTCTCCTCCCCCCAGAATGTGAAGTCCCCAGATTTCCAATCCTTTCCCACCATCTCCCAGGGACGACTGCCACCCGGCAGGACCTGGATCTCATCTCAAATTCCAGAAGGCCTCCGCGTGCTACACTCCTGCCATTCCAGAGCCTTCATTCTAGAGCTTTCTCCCACCGTTTTCTAGAATCATCAGCGTCCTAGAAACATGTGTCCTCGATTCCCTGGGCGGGACATAATGACCTAGGAACTATTCTACATATAAAAACAGCCCCCGTGATTTGAACTGCTTTCTGCCTAGAGTCCTGAAGGTTTGAAAATGCCAGTGTTCCACGGGCCCTGGCTGGCCAGCGCATGCCAGTGGGAGATTCCCAGGCAATCCCCAAGGCTGTTTCCAGAATCACAGCCTCTTCATTCCCACCATCTCTTGATTCTCGAACAATCCAGAACTTCCTGTCATGGTGGACTTCTTAGAAATCACACCAAAAGCTTGAGAAGTGCAGGGGTGATTCCAAAATACCTGACAATTCAGATTTCTCTGGGTCCAGGAATTCTCCATCTTCCAGAATTTCCCCCAGCAGGCAAATGATTCCTACTGGTGGACACTCCCTGGCATTCTAGAACACGCCCATTCTAGAGCCCACTCCATCCTTTGGCAGACACCTTGAGATTTCTAGATGCAGGGGAGACCACCCCTTATACTTGTCAACCCACGAGTACTCTAGAATATTCCTTGGTCCTAAATCCGGAGCATTCTCCCTCTCCTCACCATGTTCCAGGTGAGCTGCCACTCCAGCTCTCAAATGAACATTCTAGAGTGCTCTGTTCCTAGACGGACCTGCCTTCTTTTCTTCTTCATTGGCTCAAGAAAAAAACAGTTACCTCTCAAAAGTGGTGTCCAAGTCACAGGTGCTGTTGAAGGGTGGGTCTCGAGAATGTCTGGGCGGGTTGGGCATGGAGCTGAACCTCTTTGGTTTGGGCAGAACAGGAGGGAAGGCCAAGGCCACCAGGGGTGCTGGGCAAAGTGTTTGGGGGCAAGGTTTGGGGAAGGAGCAGTATGGATTTGCCATCCTCTTTTCTGCCAACCTAGGAAATAGCATTGAAACCCCCCTTTCAAGAATTCCTCTCCCTCCATGCTGGAATTGATGTTACCTCCTGGCTTGTGTGGGCCAGGCTAACACCAAGGAGACCCTTTGGCACACTGTCGGTAACGATCCGGGCCTATGCCAAGATCCAGCCAATGAGAACCAGCCCTGGGACTTTTGCTGCCAATACTTTTTTTTTTTTTTTAAGTTACTAACAGGAAGCTGGGAGTCATGTTGGCACAGAGACAGGGGGAAAGTCTGAGGATGACACCTCCCAGGGAAAGCAAAGCTGAGAAATGGGAAGGCCGATTCTGGAGCCCCTGGATCCAGCTGTGCCTGAACCGAGCATGGAGTATAAACCAGTGTTTTCCCTTCCTTTGCTTAAACCAGGAGAGGCAGACATTCAGGACGCTAGAGCCAGATGCTTGGCTGGGCCCCAGAGCTTCCCCCACCGCCTCTTCGGAAGTCCCCAGGACCCCTAAGAATGCACACATGGTGTTGGCAGTAAGGACTTTATTGGGGGGAGGGAGACTTTGGCTTCTAGAAAAGAGGAGCTGTAAAGGCTTCGTAACAGTGACTCCAGGAGGCCCTGGCCCTGAACCCAGGGCGCTGACCGGAAGCAGGGAGGTGCGTTCACCAGGACCAGGACCTGCAAAGGCAGCGTGGCGGCTGGGTTCAGAAAGACGTCTCATTGAGCTTTGCCTTGGGGTGGGTGGGAGGCACCCCGAGACTGGTGGATGGGCGAGGGGCGGGCGTTGGTGGCCGCCGGGGCTCGGGCCCACTCTGCACTAGTTGGTGGCACCGCTCCACAAAGCTGCCTCCCCCTCGGCGCCGGGTTTCAGCCTGGGTGGGGCTCGGGCTCCCACGACGCCCGGACAGGGAGGCGATGCTGGAGGCTGTGTGGAGACTGAGAGGGGTGGTGAGAGTCAGTGCCGGTGAGCACACGGTCACTGGGCCGCCCCCTCCAGCCAGGCCACATGGTGTCCCAGTCACCTGGTGAGAGACGTGCGGGGTGAGGGGCTGGGGGGTATGCCCCGGGAGAAGCCCAGGGGGGCCAGCTCACACTGCTCCAGCTGCTCCATCAGCTCCTCCTCCGTCAGGCCACCGGCTGGGGACAAGACAGAGGTCGCAGCACAAGAATCAGGGGTCCGGGTGGGACAAAGGACTCAGAGGCAAGGTGCAGGGCCAGTGGGGTGAAAAGCAAGGGACTAGAGTCAAAAGTCCAAAAGGGTCAAGGGAGCAGTGGAAAGGGGTCAAAGGGCAAGAACCTGGGCTCTGAGGGCAGGAGTTGCGGGGGG